GTATTTTTACGAGTTATTTGTATTTTGACGAGCCCTACGGGCTCGTCAAAGTACGGCACAACTCGTAAAAATACTCAGCGATACTACACAACAAAACGTCTAATAAGATATATATATCATACCCTTGCTTAGTCATAGATTCCTCCAAAAAAAAATATGTAGAGGTTATATATCTAGGGACTGCCACATGTGCATGAGTAAATGAAAACGTTAAAGACTTAACTCCGTCCTTATCATTATATCCGATACCATCGATGTCAAATAGCGTATGCATGAAATAAGAATTTCTCGGTCGCAAAAAGTCTCTTAAGCTAGAGGCCTAACATTACCCACCAGGTAAAGCACTTTTTTCCGCGGAATATTCCGTTGATTCTAGTGCACGTTGACGCCGGTAATTCTAAATAAATAATAAGCAGTATTTTCGTAAAGAAAACACTTTAGCCTTGAGGTATCTACAGTAAGAGAAAATCAATATAGAAGGCGAGCCTGATTTACTACTAAATGACACGCTGACAAAGTGTAACCTAATTGCAGGTTTAGTTTTTCTGTGATTGAAGGAAGTAACTTTTCCCACAAAACTTCAACATCATGAAAGGACAAGGTTTTGACCTTGGGGTGAACTATCTCGGTACTAACTGAACTCCGCTGAGTACCCTCGTTTTATTACCTCCAGAATAAAATCAATGATGCTTATTAATGTTTGACCTTTACTCCGGGACAGTTGCCAAGACACAGTGTGAAAATGTTTCGTCTAAAGAAAAGATACTTGATTCATATAATGGTCGATGCAAAGTATTTTTAAAAGTTTCAAGTTTAGATATTATTAACCTTCCTCATGAACCATGTATTCACAAGTTATCTAAATTAGTACACTCGAATAATCATAATACCTATATTTGGATCCAACTCTAAGCCGAGACCGTCTTTCCACCCAAAAACAGGTCCGATGTACTTGACTGTTCCTCAAAATCTCCCGGGAAACGGAGGATGCTGAAACAAAACCTTCATACCTACTTCAATGTCACTGATTGATTTGGGCCCAAAGCCCTGTTTCATAGTTTCATCTGTAACGACAACAGAGAAATAAAAACAATAGATAATAAAATCGACCATCGTACTAAATACATTACTATCATCACTTTACTGACGTTTTTAGGTCATTAAAGGTCAACATTACTCAGTAGTTTTACTCGAAGTTCAAATGACGTAGCTCAGTGTAACATTAGCATATGTCTACACACTTGTACCCCCACCCCCCCCCGCACGCACGCACGCACACACACACATACACACACACACACACACACACACACACGTAAAAAGTTCCTATGAAATACTCACCTGCGGGTAATAATGTGTTAGATAAGATTAGAAGTGTACGTTTAAATTAATACTATAGGTGAGACTTCCATTTTTCTGCATACAAAATTTCTCTATTCGTTCTGACGAAGGGCTACCGGTCGGAACGTCAGCTGTAGAGAGTCTTTACAGTGGCTAGTTTACATAATCGACTCAGATAATAAAACCAAGTTATCTCATTGTACCCCAACCCACATTTGCTTTGGAAACTTACCCTCTTTAGGGTTGACATTAGTTGCCCCTTTCTTGGTTAGCCCGCCCATGGCTTCCCTGGCCGTCTTGTTCACCTGCATAGCTCGATGTCGATCTTGACCCTTCAGTCTTTCTATCTGCTGCACCAGACCCTGCACAGTGGACTTTAAACTGGCTATCTGCTTGGACTGATCATCCAACTGCTGCGACTGATCTTTTAGAGAGGACATCAATCGCCCAATTTTTAGTGTCTGACTCACATCTTTGGCCATCAAACGGTCTATTTGTTTTGACTGGCTATTCAACTGCTGAGACTGATCTTTAACCTGATTCTGAGTGATCGCAAGGCTGCGAACAGCTAAGTTTAAGTGGCTGTCCATGTGTGATTCCAAGTGAGATTTAGTCCCTCTTCTTTGAAACTAAAAAAAGGGCGATGACGTTAACATTCAAATTTTCAATTGAATTAGTTGTTAGGAATTCTTTTAAACCCAGCTGAGAATAAATGTTACGTACTTATTGAATATATGGGAGGGGCAGACGGGAAAATTGGGCTCGAAGTCATTACGTACAGACCGAGCGCAGTGTGGTTTGTATGTCCTGACCGGGAGCCCTATATTTCCCGTCCAGCACGACCAAACTTAGTCAGGAAGCATATGACTAACCAAGCCCTAAAACTAAAGAAAATTTTGTTTCAACCTAGATAGGACACTATAGACTATAGGGGGGACGCGGGAAAACCACAGAGAAATTCTGCAATAAAACTTTTCCTTTTTCTTTTTTTTTTTTTTCTTTTTCGAGTCAGAGCAAGAAACTGACCATTTATCGAAAAACGAGCAAAGCAAAGCCTTGTGAGTGCAGGGCCGAGCAACGTTCAAATGATTGCACATGCGCACTTAGATTGATAATTTGCTATTTAAAATATGGAATCTAACTGAGACGCAGTTTTCTTTTAGTCGCTAAAGAAAGCTCGAAGTTTCTTAGGCCGTAACTTACATGTATACAGATTGTTGTTCTAGACTTTACCCACTTTGTGTTAGTTTACACCCTCGTACTTTTTTTTACGCTTTGCACGGCGGCGTGACGAAGTCTTCCGCATATTTAGCCGTGCTGGCTGTAGTTAATCTTTGTTGTGTTCATGTTGGAGTTGCCGGTAAACATCAAGGGAAATGTGTGAAAAAGGAGGAACTAGAGTCACACAAGATATTAATGACTCGATAGCAAATCTACGCTAATAGCGGAAAGTAGACCGGGAAGAACAGCGCTGCAAGGGTAGAAGAAAGATTGTGTTCTTTGCTTTCATCACCGAAACGAAGCGTCCGCGTTAAAAGCAGTTGGAGATATCTCCCTAGATTTACTATTTCTCCAAAGTCCTGCTTTCCTATGTATTGGAGTTGTTAGAAATTTAACCTTTTCTTCCTCACTTTCCGCAAGACACAAGTTCGTAAATCCGTACTATTGTTTCCAGACACTCGTCCATGAGCGGCGTCTATCCGCTGACACCACTGTGTTCAGGAACGGACGGCTTTTTCCGGAACTTCTTACATCAAACCGTCTGGCCACACACTCACATTAGCTCTCACTATGGTTTTCTACGGAATTGCACGTGCGGGAAAGTTCGAGTATATAATATTTAACAATTATTCTGCGAGCGCGCGTTGGATATGAGCTGATAGATAGCCAACGAGGCGCGTAGCGCCGAGTTGGCTATAATCATCTCATATCCAACAAGCGCGAATGGAATAATTGTTTTATTAAAAAAAAGAAAACGCCCCCAAGATATTAGACAAATCTTCTCGACTTTATTTTGTAAGAAGAAACCGGATTTTACAATGTACAAATATTAGATTATGGTATATTGGCTCATATACCATAATGGCTAAGCCAATAAAAAGTCTTGAATTGCATTATCCAATGATACAGTTATATATATATATTTATATTCAGTTATATATATATATATATATATATATATATATATATCGCAAGTCGTTAGTGGAACTCTCAGGCCAACAAAGGTGCACCGCGCCAGGAGGATCAATAAAGATTCGCAGTCCAAAACCTCACAGCAAACACGAACGTAGAAAGTTTAAAAATTGCGAGGATGGACAACTTCTGACGTCAAAAATATAAAAAAANTTCGAATCCCGTACAGGCCTGAAATTTTTTTCAGGTCTGATTTTCACTATTGCTCAAATAGTGCTTTACTGCGAAGGATCGTTCTCATATACGTCTCATAACCGCAGTTCACACATATGTTTCATATGTTTGTTGTTGTTTGATTTATCATCTACGGGTTTATATCGAATTAATTTGATGGCCTGCTCCCAGTTGGCTTGTTAGCTCAATTGGTAGAGCGCTGCACTAGTATCGCAGAGGTCAGTGGTTCGAATCCCGTACAGGCCTGAAATTTTTTTCAGGTCTGATTTTCACTATTGCTCAAATAGTGCTTTACTGCGAAGGATCGTTCTCATATACGTCTCATAACCGCAGTTCACACATATGTTTCATATGTTTGTTGTTGTTTGATTTATCATCTACGGGTTTATATCGAATTAATTTGATGGCCTGCTCCCAGTTGGCTTGTTAGCTCAATTGGTAGAGCGCTGCACTAGTATCGCAGAGGTCAGTGGTTCGAATCCCGTACAGGCCTGAAATTTTTTTCAGGTCTGATTTTCACTATTGCTCAAATAGTGCTTTACTGCGAAGGATCGTTCTCATATACGTCTCATAACCGCAGTTCACACATATGTTTCATATGTTTGTTGTTGTTTGATTTATCATCTACGGGTTTATATCGAATTAATTTGATGGCCTGCTCCCAGTTGGCTTGTTAGCTCAATTGGTAGAGCGCTGCACTAGTATCGCAGAGGTCAGTGGTTCGAATCCCGTACAGGCCTGAAATTTTTTTCAGGTCTGATTTTCACTATTGCTCAAATAGTGCTTTACTGCGAAGGATCGTTCTCATATACGTCTCATAACCGCAGTTCACACATATGTTTCATATGTTTGTTGTTGTTTGATTTATCATCTACGGGTTTATATCGAATTAATTTGATGGCCTGCTCCCAGTTGGCTTGTTAGCTCAATTGGTAGAGCGCTGCACTAGTATCGCAGAGGTCAGTGGTTCGAATCCCGTACAGGCCTGAAATTTTTTTCAGGTCTGATTTTCACTATTGCTCAAATAGTGCTTTACTGCGAAGGATCGTTCTCATATACGTCTCATAACCGCAGTTCACACATATGTTTCATATGTTTGTTGTTGTTTGATTTATCATCTACGGGTTTATATCGAATTAATTTGATGGCCTGCTCCCAGTTGGCTTGTTAGCTCAATTGGTAGAGCGCTGCACTAGTATCGCAGAGGTCAGTGGTTCGAATCCCGTACAGGCCTGAAATTTTTTTCAGGTCTGATTTTCACTATTGCTCAAATAGTGCTTTACTGCGAAGGATCGTTCTCATATACGTCTCATAACCGCAGTTCACACATATGTTTCATATGTTTGTTGTTGTTTGATTTATCATCTACGGGTTTATGTCGAATTAATTTGATGGCCTGCTCCCAGTTGGCTTGTTAGCTCAATTGGTAGAGCGCTGCACTAGTATCGCAGAGGTCAGTGGTTCGAATCCCGTACAGGCCTGAAATTTTTTTCAGGTCTGATTTTCACTATTGCTCAAATAGTGCTTTACTGCGAAGGATCGTTCTCATATACGTCTCATAACCGCAGTTCACACATATGTTTCATATGTTTGTTGTTGTTTGATTTATCATCTACGGGTTTATATCGAATTAATTTGATGGCCTGCTCCCAGTTGGCTTGTTAGCTCAATTGGTAGAGCACTGCACTAGTATCGCAGAGGTCAGTGGTTCGAATCCCGTACAGGCCTGAAATTTTTTTCAGGTCTGATTTTCACTATTGCTCAAATAGTGCTTTACTGCGAAGGATCGTTCTCATATACGTCTCATAACCGCAGTTCACACATATGTTTCATATGTTTGTTGTTGTTTGATTTATCATCTACGGGTTTATATCGAATTAATTTGATGGCCTGCTCCCAGTTGGCTTGTTAGCTCAATTGGTAGAGCGCTGCACTAGTATCGCAGAGGTCAGTGGTTCGAATCCCGTACAGGCCTGATTTTTTTCAGGTCTGATTTTCGCTATTGCTTAAATAGCGCTATCTACTGCGAGGATCGTGCATCATACGTATCTAATACCGCAGTTCAAAATATATGAACTTCATATATTTCATTGTATCTGATTTATCACTTTCACGGGTTTATTACGAATCAACTTAACGGCCTGCTCCCAGTTGGCTTGTTAGCTCAATTGGTAGAGCGCTGCACTAGTATCGCAGAGGTCAGTGGTTCGAATCCCGTACAGGCCTGAAATTTTTTTCAGGTCTGATTTTCACTATTGCTCAAATAGTGCTTTACTGCGAAGGATCGTTCTCATATACGTCTCATAACCGCAGTTCACACATATGTTTCATATGTTTGTTGTTGTTTGATTTATCATCTACGGGTTTATATCGAATTAATTTGATGGCCTGCTCCCAGTTGGCTTGTTAGCTCAATTGGTAGAGCGCTGCACTAGTATCGCAGAGGTCAGTGGTTCGAATCCCGTACAGGCCTGAAATTTTTTTCAGGTCTGATTTTCACTATTGCTCAAATAGTGCTTTACTGCGAAGGATCGTTCTCATATACGTCTCATAACCGCAGTTCACACATATGTTTCATATGTTTGTTGTTGTTTGATAATGAGATCAGATAACTCCAAAAATACATCGCAGAGTTAAGAACGCCTACAAACCAACTTATCACTGTAGGAACGACTGTACGCTTTAAACAAACAACTAGCTTGTATTTTATCCCCAGTAGCAAGGCGAGAACTCTGTCCACGCTGATTGCAGTCATAGTAACAAGCGACACCGAACTCAAACTGCATACCCTACAACAAAACTTGACATCAGTGAGATGCGGCAACGAGATGTTCCACTGTTCATTTACCGCCGACCGTGAACCACTGAGAAACAGCCACAGGTTGTGCTACTTGTCGAACGCAAACATCAGTTGCTGATAAGCTACACAGCAGCATTTTGGATGGCGGATGAAGGGAAGATTCTTTGTGAAGAGCGACGAGGATAAGTGAATTCAACAGGGTTGCGCTAAATGACAACAGAATATTGAAGACCGACAGAAAAATCAGATGGTAGCGTAATTCACCAATGATATCTGTCGAGCACAACAAATCTGGTGATTTTGGATCGTTCTGTCCGAAACTATAGTTTTTTTTGTTTCCATTTTTTTTTTCTATATATAATATTAACCATCCGTATTCGCCAATTTCAAGTGAAACTGATAAAACACGCACGAGAGTCATTCATGCGCCATTTCCCGATAATTAGCCCAATACGTGTTCTT